GATCAGGGCTGGAATCTATCCCCTGTAGAGTAAGAAACAAACAGGGGAAACAGTTGATATTCAAAAACCATATTTAAAAAGGGAATTGTTAAGTAAAATACTAAAGTGCCATCTGGCGGCCATCTGAGAGTTAACTGTTGCAAGCATCTGCTGCAGATTCAGAGAGAAATTGCACATAGATACCACATGCGTGTGATGATTCCTTTCTCCAGATGGTCATCCCATGCAGAATTTGATAACAGCCAATGCACCGGATATAAACTAAAAGTAGCAACTTACCAACTGCTATAAAAATTTGAGTTTCACTTAGCAACATGCCTGTACTTAGATTCTTTTCAGCCTCCGGTGTGCTCAGTAACACAAAACAGGTTACATATGTATAAAAAAGAATAAGCTGTAAAATTAATTGGGCTTAGCAACTGGATGGCTGTGCATTTTTTTGCATATGAATACACAATTTAGCTAAATTTTGGGCAAGAGTCATGGATAAATGGAAAATAAAATTAGTAAGTAAAACTGATTATATTTGAAATTTATTTCAATGTGAGGTTTTCAACTCTGTTTGCCAGCATAAACAAGCAATATAACAAAATATGTTTTAACAGTTTTGAAAATCACTTTCCCACATAACCAAAATCTTAGCCCTTATACCAGTGGTTGTGAACCTATGGCACAGGTGCCAGAGGCGGCACTCAGAGCCTCTCTGTGGGCACACGTGCCATCGCCCCAGTCCTAGATCTTCAGATGGGTTTTATAAAACCTTTTTGCTTTAGGCCTCTGCCGCCGTGTACAAAAAAAAAAAAGTTTCAATCAATCAGTCAATTTCAACTTCTCGCGGGAAAAAAAAGATCTTGCAAAGTTGGAATTGATTGATTGAACTTTTTAGTCCCACCCAGTTAGCTGTTACCACCGTAGCCATGCCCACCCAATGGGCCACACCCACCCAGCACCCGACGATGCATAAGTGGGTTTTAGGTTGCAGTTTGGGCACTCGGTCTCTAAAAGGTTCGCCAACACTGCCTTATACGATACTTTGGTAACTTCCTCCTAAGATTGTAGTAGGAAGAGCAAAGTCAAACCAAAAAAATGTCCTCCTTTATTAGGAATTATCATTTTAATTAGGTATCTAGCACATCTAAAGAGGTTGAATGAACCAATCAGGAGTGCTGATATATATTTTCGGGAAGAGATGTCAGATTTAACTGGATATCAGCATCTTTAATTCACTTCAGCCTAACTATTGCACTCTTGTATTCTCTTGTAACTTTATATTCTGTTTGGAAATTGCAAACATATATATAGTTACTACCAACATGTACATTGTACCTGATGATCACAAAGGCTCAGAAATATTCACAGCCAACCCTAAATCTATAGTAGATTTAGTTACATAGAAATCAAAACAGCATGAAAGGCTGGTCTGATGCAGGTAAGAATCAGGAGGAAAAATTCAATTGCTGTTGTGCAGAAAAAAATATCCTTGTTTCTGAGCTTTGAAGTAAGATTTGGAATTCAGGAAATGCATTTAAAAATCAACAGTTGAACTTGCTGAATTTCTCAGCAAAACATAAAAGCCACAGAACAACTCTGAAGAAATAGAATAAGGTGGTACTCTGTGTTATTTCAACAGTAGCAAAACAGTAGGATATATCTACTTTAGAAGCTTTCCTTTATTTCCTATGGTGGTTCTGTATATTGAACAACAGAAGAATGTGTGAGATAAGATAAAGATGGTTAAGAAACTAGGGACTGGGATCCTATAATGAAACTCCATGTTCTATAACTGAAGCAGAAAAAGTGATGGGAAGTAACGCCACCATTAACTCTGATGAGAGGCCACCTAGCAGTTGTTATATCGGATGCCAAAAAAATATAAACCATGTACCAGGTGAATGGCTTGGCAACAAACTGGGATTGTTTTGAACTTCCCTATTGCTCTTGTGGTAGAATCCTTCATTGGGCATACTATAAAAGAAATATAAGTAGTCAGATTGGTTCAGAGGAGTTCAGCCTGATTCTATTAGGGCTTATCAGAAGAATTACCCATTGCCAATTGTTAGGAACAATGAAATGCAGGATAAATTGTTATTGCTACTTTGCTGTGTTATTTTGGTGAATTGCAAGTTGCCAACAGAAAATTAGCACTTCCACTTGAATAGACCTTTGGAATCCTACAACAAAAGTTTACAAGTTTCTAAGAATAAAAGTTGTGAGTCTAGAGTACGCAGAAAGGGAAGAATATTAAAAACCAACAACAATAACAATGCTGTCTAAGTTTCAAGAAGCTGGCTGAATACTTATACTAGGATGAGAGGTCTCAGATTTTTCTATATTCTGAATACTTTTGGCAGCAATGGGACATTAGTAACATAACTGTCTTCTGAAAATTGAAAACACCCAAATGTTTTGTTTGTCTATCTGCCTAATTTATATAGTTGCTCAACTCACAAGCAAGTGACTCTAAATGGCATCTAACAGATAAAACCTCTGCTATCTTCTTTCAGCACAAAGTGGAGAGCCCTGATAAAGATGTGATTGAAAGCAAAGGCTAACAGTCTGAAATTTCATTCTCTCTTTGGACATCAATAGCATTTGTACAAATGTCCATGGAAATCACACTTCTCTTCCATTTACACCAATGTGTGGCTTTAACATCTTCAGAGCAAGTTCATTTCTTAAAACTTTGTAGAGGTTTTGCCTCATATTCAGCTATGATCTGAATATTTCTAAAGTAGGGACATTTTTTCCTTAATCATGTGCTTTCTCCAATAACCTTGGATGTGGTAGTGCTTCCTCGGTCAACAATAGTACACAATCTGGAGTCTTCCTGGACTCACTATTCCTGCTTGATTAGCAGGTAGCAGCTCTGGCTCAGAAGGCCTTTGCCAAAGATCATCTGGTACACCAGTTGCACTCTTCCCAAAGTCAGGTGGACCTTTAGGAAGTCATTCAATATCTGGTCATATTGTGGCTTGCCTATTGCAATTAACTTTGCATGGGACTGTCCTTGATAACCATCCAGAAGCTTCAACTGATCCACAATGTAGTGGCATGGACACTACATCTCTCAGTATGCCATGTAACATCTTTACCCTATGAGCTGCAGTTTGCTTCCAGGTGCAGTTCAAATTGCTGGTTACAATCTATAAAGTCCTACATTTCCTAGAGCCCAGTTAATTGAGGACTGCCTGTCTCCCATAATAACTGTTTGATTGATTCAGTTCCACAGAGATAATCCCTGCTATCTTAATTAAACATACAGTGTTAGTCACCACCATCATCCCTACCTATTTGATCTGCAAAAGTACATTGTTCAATAATAACCATAAAATACTTTCATGATATATACAAGAGGTGCTACCAAAGTATGAGTTTTAATTTCTAATTTATCCGTGTAGAAATTATAATCTTTCATCCATGTTGAATGCTAATGGTTTTAAATGTAAGGAATTTGCCATTTTTTGTTCAAGCTACTGACAATAATGACGTCTATTTTTGGCATTTATTGCATATATGATTTATGATAGATTACTCAGGACTAAGGAAATATTAAATTACAGAGTGGCATTTCCACTTTTTTCCTGAGTCTGTTTTCTTTTAAGAAAGCATTGTCCTAGCATTGAAACTAGTTAGGGGATTTTGTTTTATTGAAGCTAATAGGAGGATTTTGTTTTATAGGATACTAATTTAGAAGTGTTTCTGCAGTATAGTTCTATAATGTCAAAGCATCTTAAAACACTTGATTGTCCAGCCTCTCCCGTGCCTCCAAAGCATGTTCCATATATGCATTGACTAAATGTATTATCTCCAGAACATGCTTTTTAGAACTTTAGTAAAGTCTTAGATCTCTCTCTCTCTCTCTCTCTCTCTCTCTCTCTCTCTCTCTCTCTCTCTCTCTCTCTCTCTCTCTCTCCCTCCCTCCCTCCCTCCCTCCCTCCCTCCCCCTCTCTCTCATCGTACTGGAATGTCCTTGGAACAACTGTTAAGTTATTCATCAAGACAGATCAGAATGACAGACACTTCAAGAACTGAACACGACTCAATTGAAATTAACAGACTAATTCTTAAAGTGTTGTGCTTTAGGGGCAACTGTGGATAAAGAGGCATGTGCAAGTGGGGTCAAAAATGGCAAAGATGAAGCTACATGTTTGTCACATGAAAAAAATGTGCATTTGATTATATGGTCATTTCTGCCATCTTGACTTTTTGAGCCCACTCCTGGGTTGATAGTTCTTTTCTGAGTAGGTTTGGAGCCACAACTTACCTGATAATATTTGTTGTTTGAAGTATTTGCATTTCCTTGGTCGATTGACATCTGTGAAGAAGCCTGTTAAGTGTTGTTTCCAGTGAAGCATTACTGAACGATGCTTGATGGACATTTTATTTTTTGGGGGGGGGATTTCCCTGGTAGAGCCCACCAGCTTTGGGAAATTTCAGTGTAAACTTTCTCCTTTGATTTATTTCTCTATTCCAGTGAATTCAACAAATGCTAGAGGTTTCAAATCAGTAATTCTCAGAGCTGTTTTACTGCATATACTGCATACTGCAGCAGTCCCCAACTTTTCTGGCTTTGCCATCCGGTGGTGGCAGTAGTAGTGGTGGTGGGAAGGATGGTTCTGCATGTGTAGCTCCATTTGCACGAGCGTTTGCACAAATAAAGCTTCATGCACGAGCGCATGCGCCCACCGCTTGTGCAAGTGGAGCTGGATGCACTTGTGCAGTTGTCCGCTGCTTGTGTGACCTGCTTCCAAACCGTGGCCCGGTTCCGAGCCGTGGCACAGGGGTTGGGACCCCTGTACTAATCAGTTGAGAAAAGGGGACATTGACTTTAAGAATATGGTATAAATATTAATCAAATTAAGCTAAACATTCTTTATGAGGCTTTTCTAGAAATTAGAAACTGAGTAATTATCCTGCAGGTATAGCATGGTTATGGCGCCAAGTCAACGAATGCTTTGAATTCATATTTACTTATTTGTCTATTCACATGATCGTTGAAATAGGCAGAGAGGCAAGTTTAAAAAACCATTTTATTAGACAAATTATTTAGACAAATTATACACAGAAAGCTCTGCCACTTGCAACCGAGGCCTCCAAATTGTGTTTGTGTATAATAGACAACACATGAAAATAATTGGATTATCACTAAAACCGCCGCAACATCTGGTATACCCCTATAGCTTGTAAAGATTTTTTTCCCTTTTTTTGTTCTTTTTTTTTCTTTTATAAATCAGTTGTGTAGATGTTCATGAATGTTACAAGGGGAAACAAGTTGTGCATGCTTTTAAACACTTGTACCCTGAAAACAGAATGGCCTTCCTCATGATAAGAAAATTGTTCTGCCTTACACAGTAGACAATATTATGCAGATTTCATACAAAAAAAAACAAGGACATTACAAGATGTTCTCCCAGAACAGTATTAGGCATCAAAATAGAATAGATTTGAAGAATATACTTTGAATTTTTCCTAGAGCAGATCACCTAAGCTGGTTCTTATAATCAAGTCCTATCCACATAACTGAGTTAGATTAACATAAATATCATATCAAATTAAAACAAACAAAAACACGTAATAAGTTGGCTTGCTTTCTACTTAACCGCAGTTTAGTTTATAAGAATTACAACCGAAGCTCATTTTTACAGTTCTGAACAAGTAGAGTGTTAGCTTCAAAAATGTCACCAGGCCAAAGGAGGTGCCGTTTTGTTTTTGCTGTCATCAGCTTATCATTCTATACAATTGGAACTCACATCAAAAATACATCTATAATTGAATACGTAATAAAGATTTAAACAAAAGCTTATTTTTTTCTCTCCCCATTCCCTCTTTCTTGGAGCACAATAGGACTGCAGTTAAGGCCACACCAATCATTTTCAACAGCCTTCTTTATGTAAACTCTCTTCTCTTTTCCAAAGATTGACAGTATTGATTTCAATAGGGCTTATTCACCTTGCATGATCTGTTTTTCATGCTCCTGAGAGCCAGTAAATCAGACATACCTGGATATGTATTTGTGTTTTTAACCTAATGAGTGCTTTCCAATTTTGCAATTTAATGTAAAAGCATGATTAACCATAACTTTCAACACTGTTGAATAGTGATCGCAAATAAAAATAAAAATAAATCTAAATTAGTGACTTGCACATTTAGGTACAAATGTTAAATTGCCCTGGATGATCTAATAAAAAAAAGAACAGTATAAAATACGTTTAACCAAACAATGTAAATCAGAATAGCATTAAAGCACCCCATCTCTTTGTCCTGTACATCTTTCCAGAATACACTTGTTTTTACTAAAGCTTTATTAGACAAATTGCAATAGCACTGGCTGCCATTTTATAGATATATAATATATGTGTGCGCGCGTGTGTGTGCACATGTATATACATATATACCCTCCCACACACGCCCACTCACATATACCAAAGCATGTATATATATATATAGGTGTATATATATGTATGAGAGACTAATTTATTTAACAGAAGATTCTGCCATATGATACAGTTCTCTGTACATAAGAAAACAAAAACTTTTAAACTCTGTACAATTCCAGAAAGATCATATGCACTGTTGCAGTGCAAAAAGGAGATTTAACTGTAGTCTTTACTGGCATAGCAATGGCTTGGTGAAATTCTACAAAATTGCATTCTCATATTTAATAGTCTCTCCCTTCTCTTTACCGTTTCTCTCATTTTCGTTTTCTTACAAAAACTGCAAGGTTGGCCTTTGGTCCACAGTTAAAAGGACGCACAGTAGCAGAGAAGCATGAAATGGATGTCAGAGAACAGACATTATTGGTATAATAATAAAACCAATTCAAAGGTATTTCAGTGAAATAACATTGTATTTTTGATACAGACTCCATATTTAGTTCCTATATATTTCAAGTGTTATGACATAATGCTCTGTAGACCTTCAGATTCATTTCCAGAATGGTGCTTTGGAACGGGTGGGAATACAAGCATAGCACCTGTATGAACATTTAAACACTTGTTTTTTTTTTTCCTGGGATCTTAAAGCTGCTACACAATGCCTAAAAAAGACATGGCTGCTTTACAGAATGGTAAACAGTTGTTACATTTACATCCTGGTGCGCTCAGAAACATCTGTTGAAATCATAATTGAAGACCTGCACAGCTGAATAACCACTAATACAATTTTAGGAGGATAGCAGGTAGCTTTCCTACAGTAGCTCAGGTTGCACTTACTTCAGAATAGTTCCAGCAGCCTGATGGTTACAAAGCTAAGTCATAATACGTTCTAGAAAAGACTTACTCCAGAACCACTTTAATTTAGCCAATGTGCCTACCCTAAGGAAACTGAAAAATCATGGCCTAACATAGTATAAGAGAGAAAAATGAAAAAGAGGAGGGCAAGAGAAAGGATAATGAGTTGTTACTAATACTCCCGATTTCTTTTTAAAAAAGTTACATCCAAGTTAGTTCCACAATATCACAGCCGCTCCTTGCAAAGGGAGTCCTAAGAAGAAACAGTGACAAAGCAATGTCTGAAGCTTTATATGGATGTGCCTCGGTCTGGATCGTTACCGATGTTAAGCCCTAAAGTTGGAGTGGGTTGATACGGAATCGAAGACATTGTTTTGATAGGACTTCTGAAAAAGCCCCCATTTGGAGCCCTGTGCCTAAAAGGGCCAGTCCGGTGTTCAGGCACATTGCCGAAAGAGAATCCAGAAGCAGCTTTAGCTGAAAGTGTGCGACTAAGAGTCTGGATCTGCTCTGGAATGAAGGTTGTGGTAGTGATGTGAGTGTTCCTGAAGTCACTGATTTGCTCCAGTGCTTGACGCGTGGGCAAAGTATCAATGTCCAGTGGAGTCAAGTCAATGGATGAAGTGGAAAACTGTTTATGGGGACTTTCATCATCTGTGCAGAGACTGTTCACACGTCTGTGGAGATGCTCCAGATCAATTTCTTTGTCATCCTGGAAGGAGCAAAGCACAAGGTAGAAAATAAATGACTTACTCTTTGATGCCTTCACTTGCCAAACCAAAAACAAAAATCTTCTCACAGTGAGGGAAAAGAAGCAGATGTAGAATCAGGAAATGGAACATTTGTGACTTTGCTCAATTAAGCATAGATAAAAATGAATCAGAATGTAATCCTGAATATTGACAGGCTGTTGATTGGCAGGACATCTATCTAGAGCAGTGATCCCCAAACTTTCCAACTTTGTGGACCGGTGGGTGGGGGGAGGGAGAGGGAATGTTTATGCGTGAGTGGTGGCTGAGCACATGCACTCGCCAACTGCTCATGCAAATGGAGCTGTGACCGCATGCGGGAGTGCTCACCCACTGCATCCACTGCGTGGTTCTGAACAGGCCATGGCCTGATAGTGGGCCACAGCCTGGGGGGGGTTGGGGACCCCAAATCTAGAGGCCATGCTACAGTTTCAATGTACTGTAGCTTTTGTCTCAAACATTTGCCTAGAGCAGTACAGTCATCAGGCAGGCAATTTCTTCCAGATTCTGTCAGTCCTGACAAGCTTGGATTAAGTAAGTATAGGCATGGTTTTTGCCATGCATGCTGCTGTGGGGGCATGGCATCTTGTGGTATTCAGGGCATCATACCATCTTAATTGTTCCCACTTCATATGTAGCTTTTAGTCTAGACCAGGGGTAGGCAACCTTGGCTCTTTTTATGACTCGTGGACTTCAACTCCCAGAGTTGGCTCAGGAATTCTGGGAGTTGAAGTCCAAGAGTCATAAAAGAGCCAAGGTTGCCTACCCCTGGTCTAGACAGACAACAAATTTAGACTTAAAAATTGATTCTCAGGCAGAATAAATTCTGGGTATTATATTATTGTTCCCATTCTCTAAGAACATTTGAGCTTTAGTGGTTCACAAGAATGATTGTAATCATAGTCACTTTTTAAATGTAACTCAGACATTAATGATATCAACAGCAACTCTTAGTTGCTCTATTTATTTTTTATCAACCCACATTACAAAGGATGCAGTTCATAATATTTTCTGAAAAATTAGTGACTTTAGCTCATCAGTTAGATGTTTATTTCACTAAATCAGCAGCTCCCAACCTTTTCTATACCCTGCGCCCTAGAATGCTTCTGATATATTCGTGCACCCCTTACAAAAGTTTGAAATAACAGCAACGAATTATGCATATACACTATAATTTTGAAAACCCAAGTTTTCGCATCCTCTAGAATATCATTTTGTACCTCCAGGGAGTACGAGGATCCCCAGTTGGGAATCCCTGCACTAAAGTATCTAGAATACAATTTTACTTTGAAATGTTATTTTTTATTTTATCTTTACTTAAGAAAATAAATCACTCCTAGTGATTCTGGGCAGCTAGCAAGGATATCAGCAAATAGATTCCTAAAATTTAGTTTAAATTTTTTTCATTTTTTTCTATTCTATTAGTGTCAGGCCCAGCCCAAGCACGACATCGGACAATCCAGCCAAAGTTCTGTTCTATATTTGTTTACATCAAATAGAATCTTGGTAGATTAAACTTTTATTATTCTCACCGTAATGAATATACAAGTGGTTCTCGATTTACAACCATTCATTTAGTGGCTGTTTGAAGTTACAACAGCACTGAAAAAAGTGATTTATGACCATTTTTCACCACTGCACCAGGCCCATCATCACATAACTAAAATTTGGGCAATTGGCAATTGTACCATATATGCTGGCGTATAATGCGACTTATCTTATACGCCGAGTCGTCTTATACGCCGGAAATACTGATAGTTTCCGGCGTATAAGACGACGTTCTAGGAATGTGGCTCGGCGATAAAGACGGGGGTCGTCTTATACGCCGGGTCACCTTGTACGCCGGCATATACGGTATTTATGTATCCTGGAGTCATGGGATCACCTTTTGTGACTCTCTGACAAGCAAAATCTATGGGGAAGCCAGTTTCCGAGCATCAAATAAGCTTTTGAGTTTGGGAAGTGCATTTAAAAGTCAACAGTTGAATTTGCTGAACTTCTCAGAAAAGAGTGTCAAAATAAAAGCCATAGAACAACCCTGGAGGAAAAGAATAAGGTGGTATTTCATCTACTGTATAAGTACTAACTTAACAACTGCAATGATTCACTTAGCAACTGTGGCAAGCAAGGTCATAAAATGGGACAAACCTCAGTTTGTCCTATCTCCTTTAGCAACAGGAATTCTGGGCTCAATTGTGATTGTAAGTTGAGGACTAACTGTTTGCAGACAGGGAAATTCTCATCCTTTCTCAATGCTGTCTCTTGTTCTGCCCCCTCCCATCCCCCCTCAGATCCCCTTCTTCCTCAGAAACTGTCACTTCACTGCAATCCATCACAGTTTGAGCTTCAATGGTAAACTAATTGGATTGTGTATGTGGTTTAGAGTAAATAAATCTGGACAATAGTAGTAAATATGTGGCATTGCCACAGCTTGGCCTAACAGATTAAATCCATATTATTCTCCAAAGCTCCTGAGGGCAGGACAAGAAGCAACGGATGGAAACTAATCAAGGAGAGAAGCAAGTTAAAATTAAGGAGAAACTTTTAGAACAATTAACCAGTGAAACAACCTGCCTCCAGAAGGGGTGAATGCTCCAACACTGGAAGTTTTTAAGAAGAGACTGGACAGCCATTTGTCTGAAATGGTATAGGGTTTCCTGCCTGAGCAGGGGGTTGGACTAGATGACCTCCAAGGTCCCTTCCAACTTTATTATTGTTGTTGTTGTTGTTGTTGTTACTATTATTCTTGGAAGTAAAGAAGACCTACCTAGAGTCTAGCAAATCATGATTCTGCATGTTATAAACTATATCTCACTTTTTATGGATCATTTTATGAGATGAAGTCTTTCTTAAATTACTAGTATTCTGGTGCATATAGCAAATGTCTATTGCCCAGATATGACTGTGCCGATCATCACTATGTAGCCCCCACCCCACAATAGCAATACCAAATCACAACTTATTTCTTTTCTATATTTTAGAAACTGGATACTCTGAACATCAAATCCTTACCAGCAGGAGGCCTCAAAAACTTTCATCAGTTTTTAAGTGCAATTATTGTGCATTCCTTTGTTATTGTAACTGTATTTCTGTTGGAAGTACAGTTGTTCTTTGAAGTTTTGTTTGGTTTCAGGCAAGGAAAGCAACACAAGAAAGAAATAGAGGAAAATGGAGACAAAGATAAAAGGAAACAAAGCAAGAGGAAATGTCACAGAAGCTTTAGGGACAAAATTGTGTTGTTGATAGGAAGATAATGAAAGGCTAAGGAAAATTTCCAACAGGGAATTTGTGGGTTTTAAAGATTACACCTAAATTTCATATATTGATTTGAATAAATGTGTCAATTCTTTGATTGCTAATTTTGGGTGCTTTATTTTGAAGGTGATTCAGATATGTGCATTTAAAAAAAAAATTGAGTTTATAAGGATGCTAGATGAAAACTAAAAGCTCTCTTGCTGAATGAAAGCACATTTTTAGCCCTAAGTAGCATTTTCCTTATACAAATAATACATTTTGAAATTAAGTTTCATTTCTGTTGTAACTGTAAAATGTTATTTTTTTCAAGCAATATTTATATATGTAATGGTAAATATAGAATTGTTGTAACATTATTTATTTACACCCAACTTACTTACAACTTACATATACATAATATTATTATATATACTGGAGGAGAAAGATCTAATATTGGGTGTTCTGTCCTGGTAAAAACTATAGCCATTTCTGCCATCTATTTGATCAAATGTCTTAATACTGCCTTAGTTTTTAAATACACCAACCTCCGTACATAGCTTACTTACTCCTTTTTGTTCTCAAAGCCTCCTTGTCAAAATTCAGTATAAATGGGTATATCATTTATCAAGCAACAGTGTGCCAACTAACGGAAAACCAAAAATAAAGATAAATAACATGCATTGCATTTACATGTGTATGTGTGTATTTGTGTGTATACACACTCTCACATACACACTCCCACTTACATAAAACACCTTTTCTTTCTCACTACTATTATTTTTACTGGTTGCATTGCCCTTTCCATTTTTTACCTCAAATAGCTTTAAGGAAACTAGAGAATTCGCAGGAATTAATATGTATTAATTAAGCTTTATTTGATTAATTGTTATTTTATACCGCATATATGTATACTTGTGTTACATCACTTTTTTCACTGCATAGAAGCCATTTAAGAGATATTGATAGAGATATAGGTACAATATCCATATTGTTTAAGACAGTCCTTGATTTACAATCATAACTGAGCCTGGAATTATAAGATGTCATAAGTCAAGGCATCATATGACCAGACCCTATTTTTTACCATTTTTTTGTGGTGAATGCCACGATCATTAAGCAAATCAATTTTCCCTAAATTTTGCCAAAAACCTGAAGTAAACACTGGAAACTGGCAAAAAATGTCATATATCATAGGATACCGCAAACAGTCATAAAGATGAGCTAATTACCAAGTGCCCAAAATGCAGTCACCATGACTGTGAGGAGTGCTAACATCATAACCTCAAAAACAGATTGTAAGTAGCTTTGGAGGATAGGATCCTCGTAACCTCAAACGGTTGTTAAGCAATTTGTCATAAGTGGAGGATTACCTCTATTTAAAGGTTGAGGTTTAAGATTTGCTCTTCTGGCCCAAAAAATTAAGCACACATTTTGCTATTATATATTTACTGACTAGGTTTCTGAATATCTACCAGTAGCAAGGCAAGCAATTCATCCACAGTGATCCAAATGCATTCAGAGATAATTGTCTATGGAGATTCTCAGTCATCCAAGTCATGGTTATCCCAAATGTGCTTTTTCAAGAGGCAACTGGACTTTCTTGCTTTTCTTTGAAGACATTTCACTTCTCATCCAAGAAGCTTCTTCAGCTCTGACTGGATGGTGGAGAATGGAAGGATTTATCTTCCTTGCAGACAGATGGTCATTTGCCTTCTTTTAGAGAGTCGTTGAGGCCACTTGGAGGTTTATCCTGACCCTGAGGACACAGATAAACCTCCAAGTGGCCTCAACAACTCTCTAAAAGAATGCAAATGACCAGCTGTCTGCAAGGAATATAAATGCTTCCATTCCCCATGACCCAGTCAGAGCTGAAGAAGCTTCTTGGATGAGAAGTGAAATGTCTTCAAAGAAAAACAAGAAAGTCAAGTTGCCTCTTGAAAAAGTACCTTTGGGACATTCAGAGATAATATGAACTTCATAGGCATGATTACTATTACGATACTCATGTTAAATGTAACCTGTGAACTGGTTTTGGTGATTAAAGCACTACCATTGGATTCAGTTAGACCAACTCTTAATTTTATCTTTGCACTAACATTTATTTTATCTTAAATCCATCCTCCATGTTTTTCTAGTTGGTCTTTTAAGATGAAGTCTACTGCTGAACATAATATCCACTGTTTATAAGAAAATGAATGGAGTGATAATTGTCCAAATGCCATCCCTTGACCCATATTCTACCCACTTAAGACAGGGGTCCTCAACCTTGGCGACTTTAAGACTTGTTGACTTCAACTCCTAGAATTCCTCAATCAGCCAGCTGGGAGTTGAAGTCCACAAGTCTTAAAGTTGCCAAGGTTGAGGACCCCTGACTTAAGACATCAAAATGAGACACCACTCATAGGATGGTTTGTGCTTAGTTCCACAAAATGATTGCTCCTCTTTTTTCAAATATGCCTTGGTCAACAGTGAAATATTCAATCATGAGAACATTTAAATTATCACCAGGCTTCAGAGTTTACATCCCTTTGAGATTAATGGGGACAGCTCACAGTTCTGTCAGAGCTATTGTTATAAGGCTGTCTGCAGACACAAGCAGACATGACTGCATGGATTACTTTGATTCACCACTTCACAGCTATTTTTACAACCGTAAGGCATTTATTTGTTTTCTTAGAACAAAAAGGCTGCATTCTGAAGTCCAATGGGCCTGGAATAAATTGATGCAATATAAACTCCATCTGGGGACTCAGGAAGAACCAGTGGATTTCACGAGGGTTAAAATGAATGCTAGTTTCATAATCTTTGCTGAATTGTTGAACTTTTTTTTTATTTTGGATAGAGGGGATTCAATATATATGTCGATTCAGAACTTTTTAAATATATATTTTTTTCAATTAAAGAAAGACTTGGTAGCAAGCCTAACAAATAATGATAGGAGGTTCCAAGATTCTACCTCATGTAGATTTCACCCACATTTTAAATTGCCAATATTTGCAATAGTTAAATGGTTCCCCCCTCCCCTCATCCCATCTATTTCTTAAGGCTGTAAATCACAAGGACAACGTTTGTATAAGTTTCTTCTAAGAAGTAATCTCATAAATTGATCCCTTGGCTGTTGGATACAGTCATGTTCTTATTTTGTCAGTACTCTGATTTAGAAGTGCAGACTCACATTTGCTTTGACGAATTGCAAGCCTGCCTAAATGAGAATGATTTAAACAAAAGCCAGAGATATCCCGGCCATGCATAGTCCGGAAAAGAAATTTAAAAATAAACAATTCAGTGCTGTGAAAATTAAGCCATAATTTATATTTGACACTTATATTTGAGGGGGATGAATTTTATAAAGGCGTCCCATTCTCTTGAAAGAAATTGGTGGTTGGAACTTTGCAAACCCAGGGAAAGCTTACTTTTAGACAAGGACTTATACGCTCAACCTGAATCAATGGTTCTCAACCTTTCTAATGCCACGACCCCATAATACAGTTCCCCATGTTGTGGTGACCCCCAACCACTTATACATCACCGGGTGCTAGGGGCGTGGCCAAAGAAAAGGGGGGAAAATGGCGGACAGCCTTGTTTGGCGACCCTCATGAAATGGTCGTTCGACCCCAAATGGGGTCCCGACCCACAGGTTGAGAACCACTGACCTGAATAGAGAAAAGGGATGCTCATGCAAGCATCCTCCTGCGTTTCTGAGCATGCATGTGGCTCAGAAGTCTACTGTACATTTAATTCTAAGGCCTGAAGGAGGAACTCCTGCTACTAAGCATGCTATATATTTGCAACAACCTTTCAGTTTTTACAGTGAAATATGTAGGGAGTCTTTGAAAGAGTCCACACATATTGCACCACTAATTTAGCCTTCTCTTAGCAGGCTGTACAGACTTACAGGGCTCTTAGTAAATCTGAATTTGCCACCTAATGCAGGGGTCCTCAAAATGTAGCTGATTGTAAGGAAATGTATATAACAGTGTAGAGTCTAACAAACCATCTGTTGTATCTTTTCTTGTTCACATCTTATGAAACAGGGAAGTAAAACCTTACCAGAAGTCAAAACTGATTAACATTTGATCCTGCTTTAATCAACTAAAGATAAAATTCAGTTAAGCCAATTAAGGATGCAGTCCTAGATGTAAGCCCTGTGGAATTAGCAGAATTTTCTTTGGAATGTGGGATCAGGCTGCATCATACGTTGGTAGAAGACAGATCTTATCCAGATTAATAATAAAATACTTAATTGCTAATACTTTATAAATAATATGAAAGCCAATTATTATTCACAAAATGGTCGTGAACAAGATATGTGCTAGTAAGTCCCATGGAAATTAATTAGAATAAGTATTCATAAGTACAACATTATATTATTTCTTTCTTGATGTTCCCCCCCCAGTGACAAATGGTGATTAAAATGCCATTAAAACATATCAGAAGATGCATTTTCCTTCTCACCTCTAGTGCTATGATGAAATGGAAGGGTCTCATACCTCTTTTGAAGGAACCTGCGAGCCTTTTCTTTTATTCCACCATGTTTCCAACATGGCAATTAAGCAGGAGAGAACAATCCCAGCTGCCAGTATGCAAAAAACACCTGCAAAGCTTTTTATGTCCAAGGCTCCCCCTTTATGTTTGGGGTCCACAGAGGAGTGCAGATCACACTGGGAATTCTTTGGCCACCACTTATGCTTCAGGAGATCCATGTGTCCATTCTGCTGAAGTTCTAGGATCCTTGGAGAGAAATCACAGAGTCATGAATGTCTTCAAGAGCCATAGAAGATGTATACAGCTGTATGGTCCCTGACACCAAGAAATCTCATCTATGTGAAAATATTCCTGATGCCAGTAACCACGTTGAATCAGCTATAACACAGGCCCCTTTAAGTACAATAATTCAGGTAGTCCTCGATTTACAACAGTTCATTTAGTGACCATTTGAAGTTACATCACTGAAAAAAGTGACTTATGACTGTTTGTCACACAACCACTGCAGCATCCTCACAGTCAGGTGATCAAAATTCAGATGCTTGGCAACTGACTCACATTTATGACGGTTGCCTTGTCCAGGGGTCAGGTGATCCCCTTTTGTAATCTTCTGACAAGCAAAGTCAATAGGGAAGCCAGATTCGTTTAAGAACCATGTTACTAACTTAACAACTGCAGTGATTCACTTAACAGCTATGGCAAGCAGAGTCATAACATGGGGCAAAACTTAGCAATAGAAATTTTGGGCTCAATTGTGGTCACAAGTTGAGGACCACCTGTACTGACATCATTAGATGACTGCACGAGTGATAACTATCACAATGAGTATTATAAATGGCTAGACCAGTGGTTCTCAACCTGTGGGTCGGGACCCCATTTGGGGTCGAACGACCATTTCACGGGGGTCACCAAACCATGCTGTCCGCCACTTTTTTCCCTTTTCCCTAGCTGTCCTACTCCCTCTTATTGGTGGCCACACCCACTTGGGGGTCACCATAACATGGGGAACTGTATTATGGGGTCACGGCATTAGAAAGGTTGAGAACCACTGGTCTAGACAGAAGTCCAAACTGTGGAATCATTCAGGAAGCAGTTGTGTGAAACCACTTAGCTTTCCAATGTGAAATGTAAAAGTGAGAAATATGTTTAAACTATTAAAATATAAAGTTTATATAATGACCACAATATCTAGTGCTCCAGTTTCATTGAAATTGCTGATGCTTAAAATAGTCTTAACTCTGATATAATGGGTTGAGTCAAATACTGTTGAAATTAACTCTTCTACTCCATCCTCCGAGTTGGGTCACCATATAAATTGGCTGAATAAAAAATCTTGTTGATTTCAATGGTCAAATGTAATTTTACGTGATTCATATCCATTGGCTGGATTCATAGATCAAAATAAAACTATATTTTTTAAAACAGTGATCTTTTGAATACCAAAAAACTGCCTCAGTGATAACTAACGATTTCATATAAACAACAGTAGTTAGGCCAGCACTTATCAAATTATTTCAATACCAATAGCACTTAGACTTGCATACCACTTCATAGTGCTTTACAGCACTCTCTGGACATCACACATTGCTCCCAAGAATCTGGGTCCTCATTTTACTGACCTTGTAAGGATGGAAGGCTGAGTCAACCTGTGCCAGTCAGGATCGAACTCCAGACTGTGGGGCAGAGTTAGCCTGCAATACTGCATTCTAACCACTGCGCCATCACGGCTCATATGTGACTTTAGCCCATATATTTCAGTGCTCGCACACAAGCAACTCAAAAACTTTTAGAACTGACATAGGAAGTCACTGTACCACTTGACCCAGAGCCCATCCCAATTTGATTTGTACAAGAGTGCATAGTGATTTGTGTTTTGTCAACTACATGACTGATACAGCTGATCTTACAGCTTGCTTTGCTTTACATGGCTAGTGAGAATGAGGGCTTGCTCGCTCTAATTCAATGTTTCTCAACCTTGGCAACTTTAAGGTATGTGGGTTTCAACTTCCAGAATTTTCTAGCTAGCATGCTGGCTGGGGAATTCTGGGAGTTGAAGTCCACACATCTTAAAGTTGTCAGGGTTAAGAAATACTTTTCCAAGTACTATGCAATGTTCTTGGATACAAGATAAATGGATTTCCTTGAGCCGTGTCATTTGCTCTTACTAGCATCAGAGCATCACAAATGTAGACAGTTGCTGTTGCAATAAGCCCAAACAAAGGGATGCTTTGTATTCTATTGATTGTAAGCACCTGCTTTAAATGTGTGTCATTTAAATCAATTGAACTGCAATGCACTTTAACATACTTCTGTTTAAAGTCTTTGTTTTAGTCAACGCTCATTTGTTCTAAACAGCAACCAACTGTTATCTCACTCTTATATGTACTCATATGATTCATAGTCCACACATTTCAAATACTTTAACGATAGTACTTTTAACAGTAAATGAAAACAGGTCCCAAATGATAAAAGGAGACTGAAAATTAAATTATGATGCAGTAAACTACCATCAACTGTACAATAACATATATATAAAAGACAGGGTTAAAAGCAACCTGATCTGTAGATTCATAGTCCATGTGCAAAGTTTTAGCAGCTTTCAGAACGTCAAAAAACTTCAACAGCACAGGAGTTATTCAGATTTTGGGAACAGCCTATTTGAAAAGGGTAAACGGATTCCCAGCCTCCTAACCTCTTTCAGACAAAGAAGCCAAAGCATTTTTCCACCTCTACCCTGGGATGGTAATTTATTAAATTTATTTTGCATTAAATTCCCAAAGGCTCTGGGCATGATGTTCTAATCAGACAGGTGGTATGGTAACTTATGTCTTAGTCATTAAAAGGCTATTCTTCTTGTTGTTGTTGTTGTGCCATATCCGTTATTGGATGTTGGATTGCATACAAAAACCTATTGGCAACCATTCACAGTGTGGCTCTAACAAAGCTGAAATGACTCTCGCTTGCCAGCATATGGGTTGCTGTATTTTGTAGCAACTGCAGTTTTAGATGGTCTTTAAGGGCAGCCTCATATAGAGCTTCTTACAATCAATGTCAAAATAATGAGGATATGTAGAGAGCCACAGAGATGGTGTTGGGAAAGCTAAGCAGATGGTTACATAAACAAAAGCATTTGTTAAGCCAGACAACAGCTAAAATGTGAGAAAAGAGTTCGTGACGACTCCTCCCTAATTCTCTACAGTGTAAGAGGGAAAGAGGGCAGAACTCAGTCAAGTGTTCAAAGTTGTGTGTCACTTTTGCCTTTCTCAATAAAATATGCTTTCAATCAGATTTGTGGAGTCAGTTTCCTGACCTGACTTATCACACAGGCCTGATAGGATGTGAATAGTTGCCAGAATCCCAACTCTAAGAAGGGCTTGTGGACTGCTTGAAGCCGGGCAAAAGCTCCTCAGGCTACTGTTTTCATTTGCCAATGGAGTAGGAGTCCTGAGTCCACCCATGAGACTCCATAGCAATACCATTTAGACTTTTATATCTCCCCATAGTGTTTTACAGCACCCTCTGGAGAGTTTACAATGTCAGCATTATTTGCCTATTGCCCTCAACACCCATCTCAGAAGGATAGAAAGTTGAGTCAACCTTGAGCCCCATCAGGATTGAACTATGGGCAGAGTTAGCCTGCAATACTGCACTTAGCCACTGCGCCATCATACTGCAGAATTTCAAGTGCCAGCCCCATCAAGAATCAAAGCAGGAGTCCCAAGCCAAAGTAGATGGTTTCTAAATCAACAATAATTTCCTTGGGCTTTGTTCTCATTCAATCCTTTATACCCTTTGGATTAAGGCTATATCAAGACACCTCCTACATCTCCTGCCTGGTACAGAGTGATTCTATCTAATTGGATTTCATCTGAATATTGATGATACTTCGCTGCATATCACAAATAGTCTTCTCCAGTGGTTTCATATAGTTGTTAAATAACATCCGAAAGGAATGGCAAAGGGGTCAACTACTTATCTGCCATCTTTTATTGACTGCAACTGCCTTCAGAGAGGAATAGAACCAATGTTTTACAATGCCTGCAAGTCCCAGGACTTGGGGGCACTCAAGGAATCTCATGACTCAAAAGCTTCTCTAGATAATCTAATAGGACTAAAAAAGCTGCATTTTCCTGGTCCAGTCATAGTGGAGTTTATTGATGAGTTACTAGTGCAGATTCTGTTGTACAGGTATAGCTAAGTCTGAAATCTGAATACAGTGAATCAAGACAACCCATTTCCTTTATAATTGAAGGTCAGTCGCCTTTTCCAAGGTCTGACATTTCATATCCTCAGTATATTCCTTGGTAAATCAGAGCAACACCCATCCCCACACCCCCCCACCCCCCCACACACCAGTTAAATGGTCAGAAAGGGCAATTTTGCTCAAAACTTTTGTTCAGCACTTTTGTTCAACACTGTTGCATCTTTATTTCAGAAGTCTAGGGTGATGGCAGCACTGCCTGTCACATTAATGACAAGATCCATGCCCTACTACTCTATTTATTTAATCCAGCAATGGAAAAATATCTTTGATTCCTCACTAAATAGTGCTTAATTTACTTCTGCTATTCCTGATGAATTTTCAGTTCAGAACTTTGTAACATTTTTGAGACTGAAATTTCTTCCCAACTGTATCATACCAATTGGAATATTATAGATAGGAAAGATTCCTCCCCAGCTATCTGAAATTTTGACTATGTAGTGAGAGATAGAGGTTTTATAATGAGGCAGTGGAAGTGGAGAAGTTAAAAGAAATGATTAGATTTTTCAGTTAGGGAAATTATATATCAAGGCAAATTATAGTAGCATCAGAGTGACTAGTTTGTCTAATGAGGCCAAAAGCCAGATCACATTTGCCCTTTGCAAAATCATGGATGTTCTGGCAATTTAATTCAGGTGTTTAGTCAAAGGAATTAATTTATATGCTGAGGTTTTTGAATACAGCGAGAGTTCCACCTGGTCCAGTTAGTGAACAAACTCCATTAACGTTCAAAGTGATTTGCATGGGAGGATAATAAAAAACAGTTTGGAGGATAATTGTGCCCCTGAAAGCAGAATTTTTTAAAAGGGACCTCTGGCAAAGTCAGCATTAATTTGGCAGTAAGTCACTTTTTGTAATGTGTGAATTTCCCACAAGATGGCACCCTGTCCACAAAAACAGATAAATGTTCATACATACTCCAGCATTCAGGAAGAATAAATAAATACTTTCCTATCAGGAAGCAAGCATATACTGTACTACTACC